TATACTTCATTGCAATAAGACCACACTTACAGCAAAGGAAACTGGGAAATTTCAAGTAGCTGGGGAACTGTAAGCCCAGTACAATTCTGACATTAAGGGAAAAAGTGAGGGTGGATTTTGATGAAGTGCTAACAGTCTGTATTACATTCTGCCTCTGTATCACATCTTTAGCTAATTGCATGATTATACCCAAAGTTGAGAATGGAAATCAATCCTTCATTTCTCTTTCACTCCCAGTCTTCCTGTCCAGTCTTCCTTCAACTACCTAGGTAATCTGCATGTGCTCCTAGATTTCCGTTCCTGCTTCCATAGCACTACTTCAGGCTGTTATATCTGTTGATTCAGCATGCAGCAGTCTCCCAAATTACCTCCCTGTGTAACGTGTAACCTCTCCAGGCTCATCACACCCATTCTTTACCTTGCTGTCAGACCACTTCCAAATACAAAGATCTGATTGTCTGAGGCAGCTTAAGCCCCCTTAACAGTTACCTCCCCACTCACTGTCAAGGGTGTAAGCACCCCAAAGCATCTGCAGCTATGCCTTTGAAAGTCAGGAGGTGATGCCAGATGGCTTCCTACTCTCTGCTTCAAACCTTGTCTCTTGGCCTTTCTGCCTCCCACCTGTACTCTGCCCATATCCTAGCTCCTTTCTGGCTAAATCACAGTGGAACTATCTGCCCAGCTTTTCATTTAGCTCTGCCCCTAGACATTGTTTCTCAGAACACCCTCAGCCAAACTTTCTTCAGATCATTTCATCTCACAAATCCAAACCCCAGAACTCCAACCCAGGCCCAGGACTCAGGCTTGCTTCTGTTCAGGAGACAAGTTTGGGCAGTGACCATGTCACTCTCTTCACCAAAAGCTCCATTGGTTCCCACTGCTGACTAAGTAACAGAGATTTCATAGACTTTTTTTTTTTTTTTAGAGTGCCCTGACTGGCCTACGACTGATCCCATTTCCCACATTACTGCCCCTTATGCTTATAATCTTAAAATTTCTCTTATTCTTCAAGATCTAACACATAACCTCTTCCATGAAGATTTTTTCATTCTTCTCTTTTGTATCCCATAGCATTATATTCTAACCTGTATGGCTTTTAGTATACACCATCTAGGGTGTATACTCCCCCCAGGCAGGGATTATGCCTTATTTATCTCTTTTCTCCCCATGCTGAGGAATAATGCTCTGGGAAATACCTTATGTATAGTAAGATCACATCATTCCCCTATTTAAAATGTCCCAGTATCTTTATTACTCAGTCAAGGATAAAAGCCCTATAGAGGCCTATGTGGTCCTAGAGGATCTATGGTCCGTGATACCACTCCCTCCTTGCTCTGCCCTGTGCATCACACAGGCCTCCTGTAAACACATCAAGAAAGATCCCACCTCAGAGTCTTTGCACTTGTTCCCTTTTTGGGACATTCCCTAGATATCTGCTTGGCTATTTCTCACATCCTCAGGACTTTCTCTTGAAGGCCATTTGTCAATGAGGCCTTCCCTGACCACCATAACACTCTTTCCTTCTTCCCTGCTTAATGCTTCTCCATAATGTGTATCACCTCCTTTTATAATATTTCACTTATTTATTATTAATAGAAGGTGCTCAGTAAATATTTGTTAAATTGAATTAAAAGTGTCAGAAACAGATGATTGTGAAATTGCCAAACTCTAAAAATATGTCAGTTTAGGGGAATGGTAAATTTATTTAAAGCTGCCTCACTATAAACATCCTTGAGAAAGGATTAAAATTGTGTACTTGAGGTAGGAGGGACAACTGGGCAAGGTAATCTGTATCTTTGTAGAAGCAGTTGGGGCTACATAATTTCTCCATGAGAGGAGGCATCTTGGAGCTGAACTGACACTGTTTGCCCAACCACCCCATTTGGACACTTGTTTGCTACACTAATGTTTCTTTTAAGTTTTATTCCATCTTTGTCTGTCTCTTTCCTGATCTTGTGAAAGACAAAGAAATCTGGGGTAGCCTATATGACACTTCTCATCTCTTAGTAGGAAACTACCAGAAGTGAAAATGACAAGAAAAACATTACAGAAGGTTAGGGGTCTTGGGGAAGCAGAGCCCATTTTACAGCAATGTAGCATGAAACTTTTTCTCTTCTACCCAGGCTGTGCTTTTCCACCGTCTGTGTGAAATTTTTCTCCCTGAGTTTATTCTTTTGCAGCTGCCAGCTTCCTACAGGAGGATGGCGCTCTGATCTCCACGTTCCCTTTTGCTTCAGGGACTCCATAGTATTTTTTTCACGCTTCGTCGCTACTACAGCAGACGCCTGCCTTCTCATTATTTGCTGTACAGATCTCGGGTGCCTTGACTGTAAACAAAACACTTTAGATCATAGTGAGGTCGGTGTAAGCACAGCCTTTCTGTTGGCAGCCAGACTTCTTAAGGTGGCATGACCATGACTCGTTTACTTTTAAGATTAACAAAGCAACAAAATGGAGCGCCTATATATCAGTTGAAAGATTGAGCTTGTGTAGGGAATGGAAGTATTAATTTTCTTTTTCATATAGATACAAATGTCGAGTAAAATCACAATTGTGGCAAGGTGGAGTATTTTGGAATTTCTCCATTTACATATATGGGATAGTTTGTGTACATATGTGTGTCTCTGCAGTCTAGTGATTCTTTTAAAGTTTGGATATTATCTAATTCAGGGCTGGGGTATATTTTATGGTAGTAAGATCCACACTAATTTTCCTTTCCCTTCTTCCCTCATCCCCACTCTAATAAATTAAGTGGGAGCATTAAATGTAGAAAAAATAGTGGGGATGCAATGGTATGTGGGCTTGTAGTCCCAGCTACTTGGGAGGCAGAGTCCAGAAGTTCAAGGCCAGCCTACATAGCAAGACTACAGTCTCCAAAAAAAAAAAAAAAAAGAAAGAAAGAAAAAAGAAAGACTATGAGACCTCTTGCTCCGACCCTAGGTGAACTCTTTTCTTTCAGTTAGTTAGGAAGTCCTGATATTGAAGCCAGTAGTTCTGGACACTGCCTCCTTCACTATTCTCTGGGTCTCACTCCTGTATTTTTGAAATCCGTATTTCAGTTGAACTAGTGGATAGTGATACCAAAGGCCAAAGACAGCTGCATTTAAATATCCAGTGACCACAGCAACATGAAGGAATCATCTGCAGGCGGTCCAGGCTAGGAAGGAGCCATTTTGGATCCCTGTAGGAGAGGAGGATCTGCAGACTACAGCACAAACAAATCCAGACAAAACTTTACACTGATTGGGATTACCAGAAAGGAAAGAAACAGAAAATAAACCATGCAGAAAGTCAGGAGACCTGAGCTAGTCTTGGCTCTCTTACCACCTCTGTGTATTTCCTGGACAGGAAACCTCTCTGAATCTCAATTTCCTCGTGTTAAAAAGAGAGGGTTAAACTACAGGGTCCCAGAGGGCTGTTCCAGCTGTAACATTTTGGGTGTATGAGGTGAGGCAGGCATACAACATGGACAACTAAAATGTGACTAAGAAAACAAGTTAAAATCAAACACATCTATAGCATAAGTGATAAGAATACATCATTGCTGTGAAAAATTAAAACAGAAGGTTAGTTTCCAATAACATTTATTAATTTTGGCCCAAAACAAGATTATCCATATTGGTAATGTTAGTGAGGAGGAAATTAAATACCAGTTGAGCTCTGTCCCAGCAATGACAGTCCTGGCCATCCTGTTGTAATTTCCATCACCTCGTTCAAGCCCACATTGATAGATAAAATCCAAGTTGCAAAGAGGATCCCAGAAATGTCCAGATGATAATATCGGATATTAGGACAAAGTTGTAATGGTTTTATACACCATAATCTGGACTTTGATCCTTAGGGAAATATTCTCACCATTAACAGCTTGCAGCTTTATAAAAGCATTCTTTTGCATCTGAATTATTGTTCAGTGTGGGTTGGAGCAGCGAATATAAGAGGGAAAAGGGGAGGAAGGAGCTGTTGTATTTGGCGGCTGGACTCAGGTAGAGGAAATGGCCACAACCCGGGAAAGAATTGTAAAGTATAGAGACAGTTTCCACACGCAGCCAATGTCAATGGCCTTAACTGTGCTTGAGAAGCAAGAACCTGAGCCAGGGTGTAACCTTGCTTTTTCAAAACCAAATGTATCTGAGACCGCTGTAGAGTTTATTAAGGAACTTTTTTGAGACCAGTCGAATTTCTGATCTTGAGACTCTTAGTTTATTGAGGGAAAGTGTGGGTTCAGAATGCATTATAAATGCTGCATCTATTCCCAGCTAATTTACAGAAAGACATTCGCTCTGGTTTCTTGCCTAAGCCCTTGGCCTCTCCTAGGATAACAGAAACTTCTGGGTTAAGGCTGAGCTAACCACTGCCCACCCTCTTCCCCAAGCTAAGGCAGCCAGGCGTGAGGGTCCTGGCGCTCAGCTGAGGATTCCCGGCCACCGGCACTCATGGGGGCCACCCGGGAGGGCCGAGCTGGGGCTACTACTCCTATCGCCTGCCTCTGCCCCGCAGCCGCCCGCATCCCCAGCACGGCAAGTAGGGGCTAAATGAGTTGGCCACTGAGGCTCAAAAGAGCTGCCAGCGACCTTGGAGATTACACGGTCCAGGCCCTGGTTTCCCGGGCGAGGAGCGGGAGTTCGCGGCTAGGAGCGGCCGCGCGCCAGCTAGCGCAGCGCGGGGACGAGAACCCCAGGCCCCAGGCCCCTCCCCAGCTTCCCGGCCGTTTGGCTAGTTTGTTTGTCTTATTTGTAATTTCTCCGAGACCAGCCAGAGCAGGTTTGTTGGCAGCAGTACACCTCCAGCAGTCACGCGACCAGCCAATCTCCTGGCGGCGCTCTGGGAGTCTCGCGCTCGCGAACGCGGAGAGGCATCGGAACCGCGCCGGGGCCACCTTAAGACCGCGCTTGCCAGCCTCGGCGGGGCGGCTCCCGGCGCCGCGACCAATGGATCTCCTCCTCTGTTTAAATAGACTTGCCATGTCAATCATTTTCTTCTTCGTCAGCCTCCCTACCACCGCCATATTGGGCAACTAAAAAAGGGGGCTCGTCTTTTCGGGGTGTTTTTCTCCCCCTCCCTTCTCCCCACTTTCTCACGGCTCCGCGACTCCGACCGCGGCAAGGTTTGGAGAGCGGCTGGGTTCGCGGGACCGCGGGATTGCACCAGCCTGGACTTGGACTGGCTTTGCCACCTCCTCCTTCCTCCTCCCCTCCCTTCCCCGCCCTCCCGCTCGCCCGTACACTTGATCGGCGGAGACTTTAGGCTGTCTGTCCCGGGCGTCCCCGCACTCACTCCCCCAGACCTGCGCGCTCCTGAGGCTCGGGCTTGTTTCTCTTGGCTCTGAGGGCAGTCGCAGGGCTTATTAGAGGAGTCCGGACTGCGTCGGGGTGTTTTGTTGTGTTCGGTTTTGCTTTTTGAGAGAGGGAGCTAGGCGGTCAAGACCCGACCGGGAGAAAAATGTCAAACGTGCGAGTGTCTAACGGGAGCCCGAGCCTGGAGCGGATGGACGCCCGACAGGCTGAGCACCCTAAGCCCTCCGCCTGCAGAAACCTCTTCGGTCCCGTGAATCACGAAGAGTTAACCCGGGACTTGGAGAAGCACTGCAGAGATATGGAAGAGGCAAGCCAGCGCAAGTGGAATTTCGATTTTCAAAACCATAAGCCCCTGGAGGGCAAATACGAGTGGCAAGAGGTGGAGAAGGGCAGCTTGCCTGAGTTCTACTACAGACCCCCGCGGCCCCCCAAAGGCGCTTGCAAGGTGCCGGCGCAGGAGAGCCAGGATGTCAGCGGGAACCGCCAGGCGGTGCCTTTAATTGGGTCCCAGGCAAACTCAGAGGACACGCACTTGGTAGACCCAAAGACTGACCCGTCAGACAGCCAGACGGGGTTAGCGGAGCAGTGCGCAGGGATGAGGAAGCGACCCGCAACAGATGGTAATGACCCTTTCAAAAACATAAAATTATCTTTCTGGAGCGTCTCTTTGCCTGCCTGACCATATTAACCTCAGTTTGCTTTTCAGCATATTCTGATTTAGTTGTTTTTTTTTTTTTTGGTCGCGGGGGGGGGTGGTGGTGGAGTGGAGCAGGCTTTGTTAATCTTAGTGTTTTAAGCGCTACCTGGCTGACTGCTTGTCTGTTTATGATTTTGGAGTAAAAAACCGGAGGTAGTAAGATCCTGTTTTTTCCCAACCCTAACACATCGCATCCCTCCTAGCCAGCTGTAGGTATGTGACAAAGTTGTGATGTTTATCGACAGTCTCCCTCTTAGCTATGGGGGAGGGGTAGATAGATATATGTGGGGTGTAGAATGCGCTTTCTGTTATGTAGAAACAACTTCATTTTGTGCCCTTAAAGGCCACTGGGGATGACGATTCTAGAATTGTGGGCGGAGGTGGTGGGTTTTTCATTCCCTGAACAACTTCTGTCAGCCATTGTTTTTACTAATAAAGGTTGTGTCTGTTCTTTTTGGAAAAATACCCTTTACCCATAGATTCTTCTTCTCAAAACAAAAGAGCCAACAGAACAGAAGAAAATGTTTCAGACGGTTCCCCAAGTGCTGGTTCTGTGGAGCAGACTCCCAAGAAGCCGGGCCTCCGAAGACGTCAAACGTAAACAGCTCCAGCTCGGTGGGTTGATCACTAAAAGAACTCAGAACTGACACCCGAACTGGGCTGCGCACCCTGCACCTCTGGGCCTGCAAACCGTACAATACACGATTTTTCTGGATGCTAGCAGATTAGTAACTTGAGGGTTTTTTTTGTTTTTGTTTTTGTTTTTAATCAAAAAGTAGCACTGACTGGGGAAGGCTGGAAAACACTATGTGGGATACTGTAGTTCTCCAAAGTATCTAGTTCCTAGTATGATTCTCCCTTGAAACATTCAACAACCAGAGTCAGTTTCTCAGGCAAGTGCTTATAACTAAGGCCCCAAAGATAGGAAGGTAATATCTCTGTGGGTCCACCAAAACGCGTTGGGAACAATAGATTCTTTCCCTATCTGATCAAGAACTGGGGTATCCCTCAGTCCCACTTCATGAGAATTCATTTCTTAGAGGTTCAAGTTGAGTCAGTAGATTTTGAGCCATACATAGAAAAATGGTAAATAAATGATTACATTTAACTGTTGAGGGGAAAGTTAGGTACAAATAGCTCACATTTGATTAGGCAAGGCATTAGGAATGCGAATAGGGTGGTGTGCTGTGTTCTTTTATCCTTATCATTTTTTTAAGTTGTCACTTTCCCTGTTTTCTGGTAAGTTTTGGGGACAGAGAAGGAAACTTTGTATTTTAAAAAACCAAAATGGAAAGCTCAAAAGTACTAAAGTTCTACAGAGTTTCTGATAACACTGAAATTGCAAAGCTGAAGTTAAAATTAACTTCCAGAATTGTCATCCAGGAACACATCATCCTGTGTATGCTAATTGTGCTATTAACAGGATGATTTGGGTATTTGTAGGGGAAATGGATAGTAGATGTTAGGACTGGTGAGTGTATGTCTACCTAGCACAAGTGGAGATTTTTCCATGTACAAAAATCTGATCACCCCAAATAGCTAATTTGAATAATTTAGCCTTCAAATTTAAATACATTGGCTATTCATAATGATCAAAGTGCAAATCTTAATAGTTTATAAATTTCTTGTAAACAAGGATTGTGACCCTTGTTTTCCCCAAAGCACACTCATAGCCTAGGATATTTAAAAAAAAAAAAAAAGAATCTTAATAAATAAATGTTCAACTTAATTTTTTTTTAAATTTTTATTTTATTTATTTTATTTTTTTTTGGTGGTGCTGGGGATTGAACCCAGAGCCTGTGCATGCAAGGCAAGCACTCTACCAACTGAGCTAAATCCCCAGCCCTAATTTTTAAAATTCTCACAAAAATTTAAAAATACAGACTATCCAGGTTAAAATGGAATTTAGGTTTGTTGTATTTTCAAATCATAATGTCATAATATGATTTCTCCACATATATCTGGTATATTTCAAAACTAATACAAAATGGCATTGTAGACCCTTAATATTACACTTCGAAGTGTAATATTGGAAAGTTGGATGAAAATGGAAAATTGGATGAAAATTTTTCTGGAACAGGCTTAACATCTGTAGCTTTTTTGTTTTTTGTGACTTGTCGTCTAACTCATGAGGCCCGTGTATCATAGCTACTGGATTTTGTTTTGATTTGCCTCCATTCTGACATGCAAAGAGGCATTTGTTAGTAATGCTGCCAATTCAGAGGATACTAGAAATAGTAGTAAGGATCTGTTCAGAAGCATTCATATGAATCCGAAAGTAGAATGTTTGGGGGAAAGACCCCCGATGTTAATAGAATTTTCTTCTGGAGGCCTTCACAAGTTACATTTCCAAGTGTTTTTCAAATTTAGAAAATGATGTTACTCTTAAGTGTTAAGAGTTTCTGAATTTTCCTGTTTCCTTTCTTTCTCACTATCTTTGACCCAGATTCTTGCTTAGAATTTCTCAACCTCTGCACTATTGACATCTTAGGCCGAATAATTCTTTGATGCAGGAGGCTGTCCTGTGCATTTTAAAATGTTTGGCAGTATCTCTGGCCTTTCCTACTAGATACCAGTAGCAATGTTGTGACAATCAAAAATGTCTCAATATTGCGAAATATCCCCTGGGGGTGGGGGGAGCTGGGCAAAATTGCCCACTTATTAAGAACCCCTGTGTTAACATAACACAGAGGAGAGCAAAAATCCAGTTAAGACAATGTTCGGTGGTCGGTGGAGATGACCATAGTCATCAAACTTTTTAGTACATACTTTTCTCTTTACATCACTCAGGTATTTCCCAAATAAGATAGTGACAAAATATTCCTGTACTTTATTGGTATTGTCAATCTTGTGCTTTCCCCTAATTCTTCTTTCTTGTTTCTTTTGCAGAATTAAGAATGTGTTTCCTTGTTTATCAGATACGTCATTGCTTGATGAAGCAAGGAAGATATACAAGAAAAAAATTTAAATACATATCGCTGACTCCATGGAAAAGACATCCTGTATAAGCACTGAAAAGCAACAACACAATAACACTAAAATTTTAGGCACTCTTAAATGACCTGCCTCTAAAAGCGTTGGATGTAGCATCGTGCAATTAGGTTTTTCCTTATTTGCTTCATTGTACTACCTGTGTATATAGTTTTTACCTTTTATGTAGCACATAAACATTGGGGAAGGGAGGGCAGGGTGGGGATGAGGAATTGGCCTGGGTGGGGGTGAAGAACTTGCTTCTGTTTATAGCAAGGAGAAAAATATTTGACTTGCATAACCGAAGCAATTTTGGGGAAGGGCTTCAACTGTTTTTTTTTTAAAGATGTAATGTCCCTTTCAGTGACACTGATATTTCATTTTTAAAATCAAAATTTGAAAACTGGCTACAAATAATTGCTATTTATTTTTACATGAAGCTTATTCTTATTTGGGAGTTCTTATGATTCCGTTATGTACTAGCAAATGTCTTTAAAAACAAAAAAACAGCAACAACTGTTTTTCTCAGTGTCTCTAACCCTGTGCCCCCCCCCCCAGTTTCCCTTAAAATTAGAATATACCAGATAATTATTCAGCAGTTTGGTAATCACTTCAAGTAATTTTGAACAAAAATCTGGGGCATGTGATGGAGATTTCTGAATGCCCAAAACTGACCATCTACATTTACCAAATTTGTTGAGAAAATGTCTTAGTTTTCTTTTCTCTTTGAGCTGTGTAGACACAGTAAAAACAATTTGAAATCCCGAGGTATTTTTAAAGATTGATAAGTAGCTTCACAGATACACACAAAAAAAATGAAATAATTTTTAATTTAATCTTCTCTAATTGTTAATTTGCCCAAAGGAAAATAGTATTTTTAAAGGAAAGCGCATGTAAAGAAAAGCACACTTGTGGAATAATGGAAATGGATACTACATCTTTAAACAGTATTTCTTCATTGCCTGTGTAAGTGTATGAAACAAAACCATTTGAAGTGTACCTGTGTACATAACTCTGTAAAGACACTGAAAAATTATACTAACTTATTTATGTTAAAAAGAGATTTTTTTTTTTTTTAATCTAGACAATATACAAGCCAAAGTGGCATGTTTTGTGCATTTGTAAATGCTGTATTGGGTAGACTAGGTTTTCCCCTTCTTTTGTTAAATAATATGGCTATGCTTAAAAGATTGCATACTGAGCCAAGTATAATTTTTTGTAATGTGTGAAAAAGATGCCAATTATTGTTACACATCAAGCAATCAATAAAGAAAACTTCCATAGCTATTCATTGAGTGCAGCTGTAATGTGTTTCATAAAGCTTCAGGTGTTCAATCTGGTATTCTAGTCATATTTATATAAATATAATGTGAAGTGACAAATATCTACATAATTCCGGCCCACAACTCATATGATGTTTTATGTGGGTCCGAATAGTTAATAGTTACTGTTTTTCCCTCTTGTATGAGTGGACAAAGCTTTAGAAGTAGAAAGTGGAAAAGCCACATTTTCAAATAAATAATAGTCAAAGTCTCTTTTAGTTAAAATATTTATGTCTTCTGGGATATGAATGTGTCAGAACCAAAAACCCTTACCTAACTGTAGACTGATTACACATTTGCAGGATTGAAAATGAAAGTAACATGATGACTTCTCTAAATTCTGTATTTACACAGTCGAAGTGTGAGGCATTAAAAACAATTGTTCAGACCATCTAATCTAACAATTTGTGCAAAATATTCAAACATATGGGTTCTTAAATTGGTATGCCTTCTACAGTGGTTGAAGCAGGTATTAACTGGTTATCATACTCGAATTCCTCAATTTTTGAATATCCTGGCATAATCTACACATCTGAAAACTAGGTAATCAAAGTTCCAAATCTGAGCATTTTGGGTTCTTGTATCTGTACAGTAGATATATCCATATACCTATATTTATATCTATTTATCTATATAAAACCTAAGAAAAAAATTATGACAAGGTACTTTAAAGTCACCTAGAAAAATGATTCCTGTCATTCCACAATCTGAAAAAAAGGTGGTTAAGGTGTAAAACTAAATTATTCCTTTTAGTAATCAGCAAATGGATAAATTGTAAAAATCTAAAGTTGGGTTAAATTGTTCTACTCAAATACTACCACTTTCATCATTGTATCCCAAAAGAGGCTATAAGTAAGATAGATTCAGCATTTTTTGACCAGAAGATTTTTTTTTTAATCATTATTTTTTAGAGAATAGTTAGTTCCTGCTGCCGGGAAGGGGAAAAATAGGTCTTCTTGATGTCTGGTCCATACCAAATAGGTATTATTTTAATTAAAGACTAAAGGTGTTTTTGTGACTGTTCAAAACACGCATACAGGGTGTTTTTCAGGAAAAGACAGAGAGTAAAGGAAAACAATTCAAAATGGGGAGGAAGGAGTGGAAGGTCGGAAAATAATGAAATAAAATTAAAGATCTTTTGAGTAAAAAAAAAAAAAAAGGTACTTCTGACAGTGTCTTTAATAGAAGGATAAATAGCCTCTTAATTGCTGCATGAATCTCATTTTCCTTTCATAAAGAGGTCTCTCTAATGTGAATTTTTAGAGACTGCGTTTTAGGAATTCTGGGCCGGGAAGAAGTGGATGCTCCCAAAGCCAGGCACATTCACAGGAATGCAGCCCCCAAGTCACCTTGTCCTCCGTCCTTTGCACGTTCGTGTCAAGCCTTCAAAAATCTACATCGAGGTTTAGGTTGCCCTCCCCCCGAACCCGGACTGTGAGGCTCGCAGCGAACGTCTCTTTTGGGGGATGCGGCCGCCGGCCCCAGCCACCCTTAGCCCCACCACCCGGGCCACTGCGCCTTCGTCTCCCTAAACTGTCCAGTAGCCCCCTCTACCCCTAGCCCGCCGGGCTGTTGTGCGATCGGGCTGGCCCATGCCTCCGGACGGAAAGGCCATCAAGTCTCGCTCTTGGTCTACAACTTGCAGCTCCAGCTCTGGCCGGGTCGCCGCGCGCACTTCCCGCGCCCGCGGCTCCCGCAGGCCGCGGAGGGCTGCAGCGCCTCTGCCCGCGCAGCGGGGCTGGGAGGTTTCTTAGAAACTTTCCTCTCTCATCATCAATCCTCTAGGTTAAGAAAGAAGTGAAAGTCCCCATTCCTCTCCACACGAGTACCCAGGCACCTCCTGAGTGGTGGGGGGATTTGAGAAAAGGGGAGAACTTTTTCCAATTCGTGGACCCTCCTAGGCAGCAGCCGGCTCCCACCCCTACCCCAAGGCTCCAATGATCCGCAGCCCCGCGCATTTCGAAAGGCTTCTCGGCTCGCCGGCGGCCAAGGAGAGCCACCTCCGCGCTCAGGACTGGCGGAGAGCCCTAGCCGCTTTAGGGGGTCTTCCCTGCTTCGCAAGGTACCCCCCACCATCGCATCCCTGACTGCCCAGCGCGGAGGACCCGGGCCGGATTGCAGAAATGTGGGTCTGGGGGCCAAATGTGGGTCAGGTCTGGAGGACCTAGGAGACCGTGGACTTCAACGAGTGGGAGGGAGCAAGGCAGGCGGCCTTCCAGGCCACGGTGCGCCCACCGCCCTGGCCGCACTGAGCAACCTTTCCCGGACGTCAGGGAACGCTGCCTTCGCCATTTCATCGTCATCATCGTTAGCGTACACACTTGCTCTTCTAGCTCTTTGAATTTGAAAGCTGTATAAAAGCTCGCCTAGAGTCACCAATCTGTTTTTCAGAGTATGGATCTCTCTTTTTAAATTTACCATCTTCCACCTGAGCCACACCCTACGCTCGCCACCCCCTTTCCCGTCCCCCGCCCCCCAAAAAGGCAAAAATCCTGCACAAGGAGCTGGTGCAAAGGGGGCCTACCACCTTGCTAGAAAACCTCTAGGGGCACCTCCCGGATCTCTTTCGTGTGGGGGTTGGGATAGGGTGGGGTCAGCCGCAGGCCAACCTCATAGAAACGAAAGTGCAGTATTTCCACGTAAACCCTAGTTCCTGTGCCGCCGTCTGAGTACCCGACCCGTCGCGCGTGGGCACACATAAGGGGCAGGAATCAGAAAGTGGGAAATATATAAATCATTAAATGCTTTGGGCGCGAAACCTCGACGCGCCTCAAAAGGAACGTTAAGAAAAGGCACGGCAAAGGGCGCGCAGTCGGGGCGCGGGCCCGGGGATTGCATCATTGCAGCTCCCCCTCCAGAAAATGGGCTCCGAACCGCGGCGACCATCATGGCGCTCGGGTCGGGCCGCGCTTCCCGCGCGCAGTACCCTAGCGCTCCGGCCGCGGCCACCGAGCTTCGACTGAGCGTTTGCAAATATTTTCCCCCTTTCTCGAGCGCCTGTCCCCTACTCCTCCTTCCTTTTGTGTGCGTGTGTGTTTGCGTACGGTGTGTGTGTGTGTGTGTGTGTGTGTGTGTGTAGAAGAGAAGTTGAAGATTATTTTTTTGCTCTTTTTTTTTCCCTCCCGTGCTGGTGGTTGTAAACTTGATTGGCATTGGCTGCGCCCACTGACCCCTGAGCCGAGTCCACTGAAGATTTAAGGTGGATCCAGACTTCAGGCGGAGTCTGGAGCTTAGGCCGGTTTTGGAGGAAAAAAAAAAAAAGACCCAAATCGTGCACCCGGCGCGCTTTACGAATCCCCTGCGGTCCGGGCCTCGGCGCTCACCCGCGTCCCCGCCCCCGCCCTGCCCGCGGCGCACTTCTCCCGCCCACCCCCTTCGCTTTCCCATTGGCGGGCGCATGCAGTTTGAATTTTTTTTTTTTATGCTTGTTTTCTTGTGAAAAATACAGTACCAAGGATCATGTGACAAAACCTACTTGGGCTGCTGGAAGGTGGGGTGTTGTAGCTAGTTTTGTGCAGCGGGAGGGAATAAGATGGGCGGAGCTTCTGTTCCAAAAATTTCCCCCAAAGTGCGTTCGGTAGTGTGCGGGCTAGCTGGGGAACGCGGGGCAGCTGTAAACAATCGGGAGAAGCGTCGGCTGGGGCTGAGATGTAGTATAAAACGTTAATGGATGTCCAGGGCGCGCCGTTTCACCGGCTGCTGGCCAGAGGTAGGAAGGCGCGGGCAGGACTTCTGGCGAGGATGCACCTTCCTCTGCCTTGGAAAGGTAGATTTGGGGAGGGTGGAAGGGTGACGGTGGTCTGGAAAGGAACACCACCTTGCAACCAAGGAATAAGAGAGCGATAGAAATGGACATAGAGGAAAACATGCATTATTGCAGGGGCCACTCAGTCAGAAACCATCATGATTCAGGCAGTCAGAGTCACTTTTTACTTAAACGTTTTTCCTGTCTCCGATTTCCAGAGTGTTTTTGAGTGAGAAATATGTTAAAACGGAGATAGGAAATAAAACTTCCTAGTACCTTTTATTTCTGGGTCTGGAAATTCTTTTCATTGAGTACTCTAAGATTTAGGATAATGTTATTTGTATTACAGAGTCTATAGAAATTATGTCCTTTATTAATTAGAACCCAATTACGTTTTACTTTGACAATTTTTAAAGTTTATAATCACATTTATTCTCCACGCTGTCTCCAAGCGAAGTTAGCATATAAACATACCTGTATTTTTTTAATATATATATTTTTTGTTGGTTAGTCTTGTTGGTGTAGTGGTTGATTTTAACCAGATGTCACTCTAGCATTATAACAATTTCTAACCCATTGGTGACTTTTTAGTTCATAACTGTCCCAGTTCTTCTTAGTCCAACAAACTCCTAAATTATCCCACCTCGTTAAGCTCCACAAATCACCATAAATCACCCCACTTATGCCTTTAGCACGACTGTATTTCTTTTATCTCTCTGATCCCACTTCATAGGAGTCCACTAGTGAGTCCTGACCTTCAGGGCATCCACCCTGCCAGGGGGAACACTACCAGAAGCATGTGACTTAATAGAAAGGGGAATTTTTGAGGTAAGGACTGGCAGGAGCAGTGAGCTCACACTCCCAGAAATGAATCAAGCACTAGTCCCCCCCACCCGCCCATAGGGACATTGTAGACAAGATTCAAATATCAAATGAGTATTTGAACTAGTTTCCAAACCCTTGAGATACTGCATTTCCAAGTTTGGAATTTCTGAATTTCCACTCAATTAAGACCATTTTTCTTGCTCGTTGTCATCTTGAAGAGTTGTACTGTCCAATAGCCAGCAGCCACATATGGCTATTGAGTACTTGAATATGGTTGGTTGTATTTGTTTGTTGTGTGATACATGTACCAGGTTTCCAAGAATTAGTATGAAAAATGAATGTTAAGCATCTCATTAATAATTTTTATATAAATTACATTGAAATGGTAATATTTTTGATATAT